TCAGCCCCTTGGGCACCCGCTGCCGGAGGGACTGGATGAACAGGAAGACCAGGCAGAAGACGGTAGCAGCAAGGAGGACCTCGGTGGCTGAGACAACACCTTGGCTTCCCACCAGTGACGTCACAGCCTTCATTGCTGCCGGCATGTAAGAACCCTAAAGGAGTTAACCAGAAGCATGGCGAAGAGCCAGGATTAGTGAGAGGTTGAGTCCTGCAGATGTTCCTGATGGTGAGAAAGGGCACCAAGTGCCCTCAAAGAGTTCAGGGTGATGGAGCTGCCAGTGCAGCACTTTGGGGCTTTCAAGGGACAAAAGTGGGAGACCTATAAAGACTCCAAACACACCCTGAAGCCTCTGAGGGCACCCCTTCCCCTGCAAGATACCCCAGCACCCGCTGGCACAGCCATGGCTCCTGCCCGGGGGAGACAACAAAGCAAAGAAAACTGCAGCTCAAAAAACCTTGGGGAGGCAGGAGAGGAAGAGAAACTTCTCCATGAAGCTGGCCCATGTCCACTAAATCTGTGAGGATTTATAGCCAGAAGGCTGCATCTGCTGGGTGGCCACCAGTGCATGCGGGCATGGGGAGCGGAGATGCCATGGGGCTGCCCTGCGGGAACGCACAGCTGCCTGGGTGGGCCGGGGAGGGAGGGGAAAGCCTGGTGCACGAATTTCTCCTTCAGACCTGAATATGACCTTCCCAGTCCTATCTCCATGTTCAAAACCACACACACGGACGTCTCCTACCTGCAAGCCCTTGCGATGGACAAGGCTGGTTTTACTGCCCGTGGCTCCCAGTGGAGACAGACAGAGGGTGTCTAGAAGTCGCCTGCCCTGGGGAGCAGTGGGGATCCTCTTCTGCTGCCTGGACCACCTTCTCCTGCCGCCTGGAAGGCCACAGCTTTATATGCGCTCCCCGCATCACAGGGACGGGTGCTTATCTTTGGGAGGTCACTGCACGAAAGCCCTGGGGAATAGCTACCCATTAACAAATGGGGCCGAGCCTGGCTGGAGCCAGCCCAAGAAGCCAGGGAAGATATTTCCTCTGCTCCAGTGGGCTCTGGGGGATGAATGGCAATTCTCCTCCTGCCAGGGGCATGTGCAGGCTGTAGAGCCCAGCCCAGGGATGCAGAAGGGGGTCCCTAAGCCCTGCCCCGGGGAGGACGGAGGCCACACTCTCGGCATCACTGCCCCGTGGGATGCAGGTGCCAGCATTTCCCCCAAAGACCTTTCCTGGGGTGGCCAGACTGTTCCCAACACAGAGAGAGGGCTGGCACCTCCATGGCCACTCTGAAGGTGCTGGGAGCTGCAGGGTCCAGCTGCTTCCAGCAGCGAGGGGACGTGTTTGAAGCAAGGCACCCATGGCCACAGCCCTCTCCATCCCGGGGCAATCATCCCAGCAGGTTCCCATGCCCCAGGACTGGTGGTGGCAGGACCTTCTGGCCCAGCAGCAGAGCCAGGCTCAGGTTAACGATTGCCGAGGTTCGCGTGAGAAGGCGGCTGGCTCGCTTCCCCCAGCTCCTCCGTGGCAAACAGGCAGCGAGGGAGAGGAGTGGCGGGGCAGAGGGGAGGAGGTGAGCTGGAGAGATAGGAGAGGTGAAAGGGGCAGCACAGAGCAAGGCGGGGGCCATTCATCCCTCCGAAAACACAGCGTGCCACCTGGCAGGAGATGCGGGAGCGAGTGGGGCTGCTGCTCAAGCCGGGGCAAAATTCAGGGCTTTGGGAAGTGCAGGGATGAGCAGGGAACATTAATTAGCCATAAGGAATGAGCCAGAGCTTCAGGGTTCGGCCCTAAGTTTCATTCCATCTTTGAACACTACAGTGGGAATCTAGCCCAGGTTAAAGCTGAGCTAATATTTAATAAAGGCTTTCAACATCTGGTCTAATTGGGCTGATTAATAGCAATGACACTGTTCATTAGTGCTTGGCAAGAACAGTTACAAAAACCTGGCTGCTTATACTCATTCTGATGATTGCCAGGCACCTTGCAGACCTACCAGCCCTGGCTTCGCCAGGCGATGCCTCCCAAGGAGGAAGATGCTTGGGAGCGCTTTTGGGGATCCTTGTCCCATCCCCATGGATCTACCTGGATCCCCTGCATGGGGGGTGGGCAGATTGATCCCCCCCAGGCAGGGTTTTGGAGCTTGGTGGCCTTGCACCGCTGGAGAACCCGCTCCAGCCTCTTCTGATCCATCATATCCCAAAGTGCTGGAGAAGCTGGGGAGGGTCCTGGGACTGCATCAGGAGCCTCAGAGGGATTCCCCAGGACCCACCTGCCCTCTTACACGCCCCCATCCCCTTCCTTGCCTCCGCCCCCCACCCCAGCCTCCTCTGTGCTCGCTGCCAAGCCCTGCGAGGGCTGGGTGCCTCCTGATGAGAACAGCGTTAAGAGCTGCTGCCTTGCGTGCCAGGCAGCCTCACGCCCCAAACACATCCTCACTCAGCGCCAGGCTCCCACCCCAGCCACCGCCCTTCACTGAGCCCTTGGCTCCCCAGAGCTGGCCGCAGGGACAGCCGGAGGGCCAGTGTGGGTCCCCTGCCCTCAGCAGGGCTCGCCCATGCCTGCAAGCACAAACGGATGCACCTTGCTTCCCTCTGTGGGTCACTGCTCCAGGGAGGATCCCGGCTGCATGCCTGTGGGGTTTGCTAGCGTATACGGTTGTGCCAGCATGTGTGTGCAAGGATAGATGCGAGCAAGAGGAGGAGGGCACCTGCAGGTGTGTGCCTGTGTGGCAGAGCATGCGTGTGTGTGCACATGTGCAAGAGCATAAACACACTGTGCATTTGTAGGCGAGTGAGCTCTTTGTGCATATATAGGCAACATATAGCGCGGTTGCATGTGTTGGGCCAGGCATGGGTTAAAATGTCCTGCAGGAGGGCACGGATACGCACCAGCTCCATGTATGTTCACCTTGTGTGTGTGTGTTGTCCGTATGTGCAGCCACATGCCTGTATAGGTGTATGTATAGATGGGGATGAACACACGTACACCAGCCCCATGTGCCACAGGACAACAGGAGGGATGTGGGTGCCTGTGCTTGCGTTATGAGGTGCCACGGTGCATGCGAGCATGCGTGGAGACATCTCCGCCTGGGGTTTATGGAGACGTCGATGTATCCTGTGTGGTCTGTCTGTCCCGAGCAGTCGGCCTCCCTGGGGAAAGGCAGCGTGGGGGACATTTGCATGGCATGTCCCCTGGGGACAGACAGCCCTGCCTGGGGTAGTCGGAGTAGCCAAGGGGCACCACTCACTGTCCCCTGGACCCCAAAGGGGACATTTGCGGTGGCACGACTGAGACCCACCCCCCTGCCACCTTTGAGTGGTGGGAGACTACCACCCTCTTCCCCCTTTCCTGGGGTGGGACGCCTGGATACTCTTGAGGGGGACACAGGTGGCAGGGGGAGCTGCTGTCCCCTTGCAGGTGATGGCAGCATCCCGTGGCAGAGGGGACCGA